TATTTATGGGAAACGTATCTTTATGATCTAATACATTATTCTTGTATTCTTGTAAATAATAAGCCGACTTGGAATGAGGTGCCAGAGAAGAACTATACAACCAGCAATTCTTTTTAAACAGTTGAATCCTCAGCACACTGTTTGCTAATGATAACAGAGAGCAGAAGGAGGGCCCTGGCAAGTTCAGGCTCCTCTGATTTGTTGCTCAAATGTTACTATTAGATTGGTTGACTCGCATCTCAGGATTAATGTCTGAATTATTCTGATTTTGCCTCCACCTAAGTGGAACCATGTTCCCTTCTTTATATAACTCCTTAGCTTCTCTCATGCTTCCACCTACTAACTGATGAGATACTTCAGAAAGGAAGAGAACAAAGTGAAAAAGATGGAGGCAAAGAAAAAGGAAAAGGGAGCAATGCTGTTTATTTAGATCCTCCAGACACTGGCTAAAAGATTTGCAAAATGTGGCCAATGTTACCTGGCTGGTAAGTGTGGTGGAACCCAGTTCTACCACATTCTGAAGCCTTTTGGTTTCTTCCCATTCCCATGGTGAAAGGCAGAAGGAGTTAGGCAAAAGTAAGCCCATGGAACAACGTGGGATAAGGCCCGAAACTTTTGAGGATGGCATCCCAGTGTCAGTCTTGACCTCAGTGAACAAGGCCTGGAACCTCCTTCAGACAAATAAATGGGTTGGACGGCTGGCAGCTCTTTTTTTTTTTCTTTTTCCTTCCAATTGTTGTGCATTAAGTGAAAGTTTACAATTCAAGTTAGTCTCTCATACAAAAATTTATACACACATTGTTATGTGACCTTAGTTGCTCTCCCTATACTGTGACAGCACACTCTTCCTTTCCACCCCGGATTTCCCATGTCCATTCAGCCAGCTCCTGACCCTCTCTGCCTTCTCATCTAGCCTCTGGAGAGGAGCTGCCCGTTTAGTCTCATCTATCTGCTTGAGCTGAGAAGCACACTCTTCACAAGGATCATTTTATTCCCGTAGTCCAGTCTAATGTTTGTCTGAAGAGTTGCCTCAGAAATGGTTTTAGTTTTGGGCTAACAGAGAGTCTGGGGGCCATGTCTTCTGGGGTCCCTCCAGTCTCAATCAAACCATTAAGAGTGGTCTTTTTATGCGAATTTGAGTTCTGCACACCACTTTTCTACTGCTCTGGCTGGCAGCTCTTTGGTGAAGCTCTATCTGATGAGCTCCTGCAAGTGCTTGCTCTATAATATCTCCTAGACCATTTTCTCTCTGGAGTTCATTTGTTTGATCTCCATGGATGATTCTCCAAACACTCTGCTCAGTCTGGCCTCTCTCTCAGGCTCTAGTCTGGCATTTCCCATGGAACAGTAGGATCTCCCCCTTGCAGAGGTCCTTATGCTCCAAGACCCAGTGCATCATCTATGATCCCAAACCTACTGCTGCTCCTATAAATTGCTATTAATGACACCACAATCGCCTGACTGACAAGCTCACAACACCAGTCATCCCTGATCTCTCTTTTTCTTGACCCTCCACAGTCAACTAGTTGTCAAGTTTCATTAGTTCTACCTCAAGATGATCTTTGCCATTTGTTCTCTTCTCTTTGTAGCCCAGTTTAGGCCTTATAATCAAGCTATTATAATATTCCCCTAACTTACGTGCAAATTCTCTCTCTCTCCTTTTCACTATACATACTGCTATCAGACTAATCATAAGACATTCTAGTGCTAAGAATCCTTTAATCCATTGATACAATAAATATTACTGAGCACTTACTATATGTCAGCCACTTTTATAGAAGCAAACATTTTTGAGAAACAAAATTTCTTGCTGTCATGAAGCTTACATTCTAATGAAGAGGGATAAGAAGAAAATAAACAGATATATGCCAAGCCACATTATAACATACGCTATACTGCACGATAGCATGATAATTACTATAAAGAATAAAGCAGAGTAAAAGTAAAGTCCAGGAGTCAGCAAACTTCTGTAAAGGGCCAGATAAAAAATATTTTAGAATTGTGGGCTATATGGTCTCAGTCACAACTACTCAAGTCTGCTATTGTGGTGTGAAAGCAACCATAGACTATACTTAGGCAAATGGGAATGGCTGTGTTCCAATAAAACTTTATTTATGAAACCAGGTGGTGGGCTGGATTTGGACCATGGGTTATAGTTTGTCACTCCTGATACAGACAGTGATGATGAGAACATGATGTTTTTATAAAGCGGTCAGGGAAGACCCCGTTGATGAGATGACACTTGTGCCGACAAGGAAGAGACTGGTGAGCATATCCCAGAAAAGAATATTCTAGTCAGGAAGACACAATCTCTGGGTGGTGCAAATGGTAAATGTGGTCAGCTGCTAATTGAAAGTTGGCAGTTCAAGTCTACCCAGAAGTACCTCAGAAGAAAGTCCTGGTGATCTACTTCCAAAAAATCAGTCTTTACAATTCTACTCTGACCCACAGAGGGTTGCCATGAATCAGAATTGACTCAATCTCAACTGGTTTCAGTCAGGGGTAATAGTAAGTACAAATGCCCAGAGGTAGAAACACACTTGGTGTGTTCAGAGAGGAAGTGTGCCTGGAATTAAGTGAGCAAGGGAGAGAACTGACAAAGAATCTTCCACTAATACCCTTTACAATTCCTGGGTTTCATGGTCATACCTTTCATTATTATAGTGAGTATTTGTTATTTCCCCTTTTCCAGCATCCATTCCTTCTCCTGGTAACAACATCTGAATTTTCCTTTAGAGAACTACTCCCTCTAACCCACTGCCACTCCCCATCCTTGGTTCTAGCAGTGGGTAAATGATCCAGGCCTTGCTAAGCAGCATACTGTATCAACCTGGTCACAGTGATTGGTTCAAGGATAGGTATTAGGCCCAAGCCAGTTCACAGTAAAACACAGGACTTTGTTGTGTTATGGACTAAATTGTATCCTCCTAAATATGTGTTGAAGTACCTATAAATATGACCCTGTTTGAAGATAGTTTTCTTTTGTTATGTTAATGAGGCCATACTGGTAGGGAAGGTCCTAAACTTTAATCTCGTCTGAGTGGTTCCTTATAAAAAGTAGAATAGACACAGTCATGCACACAGGGGGAAGACAGATGGCATGTGGGGATACATATACAAGCAAAGGAATGACAAGGATTGCCAGCAGTCACCACAAACTAGAAGAGAGGCCATTGGATGAATTTGGACTTTCAGCCTACAAAACTCTAAGAAAATAAATTTCTGTTCTTTCAAGCCACCCACTTGTGGTAGTTATTGTTACAGCAACACTAGGTAATAGGACAGGAGGTGAAACTCTCTGTTGGTGATAAGTTGAGGATGAGATATAAGACTGGAAAACAGAGCTAAGAGATGGTAAGAGAAAGAGAGGGACACTGATTTGTAATCACAGTATTTGAGCTCCTGGATCTAACCTAAAGCCCTGGACTTATCAATTTTATGAGGCAATAAATACACCCACCCCCTTAAGCTGGACTTCTGTCATTTACAACCAAGGGAGTCCCGACTGATACACATGTGCTATTCCTTTCCCCAGGAACGCACTCTGATCCATACTCAAATGTCAAGCTCAAATGTCCCCCCACTTAAGAAGCTTTCTAAACTCACTCTCCCACACCATCCCACCACAGCTGGATTCTTTGTTTCTGTCCTTCTTAGGCCACTTATCTTCTGCTTGGGCTTTCAGATATCTTTGTGTGTGTCTCACTTCCCTGATTAGGCCAAGAGCTCCCTAAAAGATCAGGACTGTGCATTCCTGTCTGTACAGCAGAGTAGCAGTGATTTGGAGATAATTTACGTGTGTGTGCGTGTGTGTGCGTGCATGTGTGTGTGTGTGTGTGTGTGTCTGTGTGTCTGTGTGTGTGTGTGTCTGTGTGAATGTAAGGAGCCCTGCTGGTGCAGTGGTTAAGAGCTTGGCTGCTAACCAAAAGGTCAGCAGTTCAAATCCACCAGGCGCTCCTTGGAAACCCCATAGGGCAGTTCTACTCTGTCCTATACGGTCACTATGAGTTGGAATTGACTTGACAGCAATGAGCTTTTTATATATATTTATATAAATATAAATATATACATACGTATGTATATGTATACACATATATATACACACACACGTATATATACACATACACGTATATATACACATACATATATATACACATACACATATATATACACATACACATATATATACACATATACATATATACACTATACATATATACACATATACATATACACAAACACGTGTATGCATATATATTTAATAAATGAGCAGAAGAAGAACGCTGCCACTCCTTTCATTATAATTATCAATTGCCAGGTTGCAGTACAGAGTTTCATCAAAAACTAATTCAAAAGGCTGAATGTATCATCGAATGTGGTCTTAAAAAAAAAAAATTGAGAAGTTAAGATCAGACCAAATATAAATTTCTATAAATCTTATGCTAATTTAAATGGCTTCAGATTTAATTAAAAATGTTTTTCAATTGATAATAATGTAACTCAGATAATTAGCATCAAGTGGCATCTAAGGACATATTTAAAAAAAAAAACTTATCTTGAGTATAAATAGACCTAATTAACAATTTGAATAGCACTTTATAATTATGCTTTGTTTATAAATGCTGTAATGTCCAATTCATTGTTAAATGAAATTGGTCATTAACTGAAATCAAAGTTATGTTTTCCGTGGTGTCTCCATGGAGGAGCCTCTTAGGAGCTTTTACGTTGTCTGCTTTCTTGCTGCTTTTTAAAGGCCACTCCCACCTGATATTTAATACCTTTGTTCTGTAATTAAGGCTAACCTAGAGCGTGCCTCATCTTACACATGTATTTTCTACCTTTTTGGTCATTAAATGGATGGACCTGACTACAAACCTAAAGTTGCTTGTGTCAGACCAAAATAGGTATCTAACATGGAAAATCCAAAGATGGCAAAGACATTCACGTTCATATGAAGAGTGACAGGGCCTGGCACCTGAATGAGAGCGAGGCCTTGAAGACTAGGAGAATGGTGGCACCGCAAAAAAGAATTCGGGAAGTGTGGGAGGTGGGGAGTTTGGAGGAGGAACAATAAGTTCAGTGGCAGGTAATGAGGTAGAAATGATGGGAAGAACCTCCACGCAGAAGAGTCCAGGCCATTGGGAATTTGGAACTAGAATTGAGAAGAAGTTCAGGGCACATACAGAATTGGGGGTCATCTGCAAAAAAGTAACCGTTAAAACCGTAGATAGTTGTGGGATTCCCCATAGAAGTGTGAAAAGAGAAAAAGAAGAACTGAACATTAGGGGAGTCCACACATGACCCTAAGTGTGAGTCCACACGATTTACCAGGTGACAGAAGAGTTACCGAGGGAAGCAGAGGAACAGTCAGAAAGGTAGGAGAACTGTGGGAATGATGAAGCGACCAGAAGCCAAAAAGGAGGGGGAATATCTAGAAGATGGTTAGCCAATTTTCTTGCCCTCTCATTGTGATGTCAACATGCTCTGGAGTACAGGGAAGTTGAAGATGACTGTGACAGACAGAGTACTGGTCAGACAGTGTGGTGGGAACACCGGCTGGATTCGGATCCTGGTCCTGCCATTTACTCTCTGTGGACGCTTGGACAAGATATTATACCACTCTGTGCCTCAGTTGCTCATCTGTAAATGGAGGTCATAAGCCTGGGCCCTCCTCGTAAGGTTGATATGAAGATCATATATGCTTATTCATGGTAAGTGTTTTGTTTGGCACCTTGCACACAGTAAGCACCCAATTATGTTAGCTATCCGTAGTTTGGTGGTAGAATTCTTGCCTTCTATGCGGGAGACCCAGATTTGATTCCTGGCCCATGCACTTCAAGTGCAGCTGCTGCCCCTCTATCAGTGGGGTCTTGTATGTTGCTGTGAACAGGTTTCCGTGGAGCTTCTAGAATAAGACAGACTAGGAAGATAGGCCTGGTGAAAGGCCTGGTGATCTACTTCTGAAAATCAGCCAGTGAAAATCCTATTGATCACATCTGATCCGCAAGTGATTATGGGGATGACACAGGACTGGGCAGGGTTTCATTTGGTTGTGCATGGGGTCACCACAGGGGCAGGGGGACTACGTGATGGCAGCTGTCAACAACAACTGCTTATTCCTACTCAACTATCAACTAAAAGAACTAATTTACATATATATATCTTATCTTATTCATTCATTCTTTCATTCAATCTTCCTTCCATTCTTTCTTATGTTCCTCTGTCTTTGTTTCATACTTGTGGAAACCAAAGCTTAGAGAGGACGCTAGACTTGGCTAGGGTCACGATGATCCCAAGTGTTAAAGCAAGGATTCAAACCCAGGTCTGTTAGACTCCATCCTGAAATATGCATTCACATTCAAACTTCCCTAGAGCTTGTGTGCTCTATTCAAAAAGACACACTTGTCATTCAGCTGAAAACAAAACTGCCTAAACTTCTCTCCCACACCATATGGCTGAATCCCAGCTGACAGGAAGCTCATTTCTGCCCCACAGGAGGCTCCTTTCATCAAGTAGGTTGATTCAAGATTTGCAGGGTGGTCATTTCCAAATCTTTTTAGCATGGGTAGCAGCAGTGATATTTGTTGTGCTGCTTCCTTTCTCCATTTTGCATAAAAAAGCAAATGCTCCTAATCATGGCGAGAGACAGATGTTATCCTACATCATTCTCTAAGTGAAATACCACAAGCATAACCACTACCAACACAAATATCCTCCTGTCTTGAAGTAACAGGAAACTACTATCATCTTCCAGTCGTTAATCTAAATAATTGTGGGATGAAGGAATTCTTAAAGAGATACCATCACAGGGTTTTGTAGGCTAGGATTAAACCAAAGTGTTTGGACATCTAAAATTACCCTGAGCTTTGCAAAATCAGATTTTCAAGCAATGAGGTGATTCATGAAGTACCAAGAAACCAGTGGGAAGTGCCAAACCCTACTTGGACAAAACAAACTTGGCCTGAGATACCATTACTTTCTCCCTTGGACAATTATTTTACAGCTGGTCCAGCAAAGCACTCTTGAACAATAGGGTAGCTTCAAGTTTTTGTTTTTTCCCCAACCAAGAGTGAATGTGGAACATGTCACTTCTACACACAATAGAGAAAAGCCTGAATTATAATAGTTGGAAGAGGTCGTAGAACTAAGACTTACACATGGTTAAATGAACTGAGGAGGCCCTGAGTGGTGCAAACAAAAAGTTGGTGGTTCAGGTCCACCTAGTGGCACATCAGAAGAAATGCCTGGCAATCTACCCCCCCCCCGCCCCATCAGCCTTTGAAAATCCTATGGAGTACAGTTCTACTCTGACGCATGTGGGATCACCATGAAGTCAATTGACTGGATGACAATTTTTTTTTTTTTTTTTTAAGTGCATTGAGGCTGGAGTTGGTAGGCAAGGATTTGAATGTCAGTCCTACACTTACTGGCTACTTGCTTTTGGGCAAATTTCATCAGTTTTTCAAGCCTCAGCTTCCTCATCTGAAAATGAGAATAACTGGAGAAGGCAGCAAAGTGTAGTGCTTTAAAAGGAAGCACTCTGCATTCAGACTTGTTGTTAGATGCCATCGAGTTGGTTCCAACTCATAGCGACCCTATGGACAACACAACCAAATACTGCCTGGTCTTGTGCCATCCTGTGGTGCTGGCAAAGAATACTGAACACACTATGGACTGCCGAAAGAATGAACAAATCTATCTTGGAAGAAGTACAGCTAGAATCCTCCTTAGAAGCAAGGATAGCAAGACTACGTCTCACATACTTTGGACATGTTATCAGGAGGGATCGATGCATGGAGAAGGACTATCATGCTTGGTAAAGTAGAGGGACAGTGAAAAAGAGGAAGACCCTCAGCTAGATAGACTGACACAGTGGCTGCAACAATGGGCTCAAACATAACAATGATGGTGAGGATGGTACAGGACCGGGCAGTGTTTCGTTCTGTTTTATGTAGGGTCGCTACGAGTCAGAATAGACTCGACGGCACCTAACTACAACACCTGGATCACAGCAAGTGCTCAATAGCCTTTAGTTTTTTAAAAAATTATCCTCTTAAATGGTTTGGAAAATAAGTCCTAAGGGGTTCCCAGAGAACACAGAGGGGAAAGAATGAACACACACAGGTAAGCCTCCACAACCAAGGGCAGCCTTGCTTTTTATGTATTTTACCTATTCAGGTTTCAGCATGACATTTAATTTTTAAAAGTTTCTGTTGATGAAAAAAATGGTTTGAAAACTTCTGCTCTAGATAACTGTCCTTTGAAAAATGGGAAAAAGCAGGGCCCTGATAGACCGAGGGAGTTGTTCCAGGTCAGGCAACAGGTAAACAGCTGACCAGGGACCATACTGCCCCTTGCTCCCTGCATCTGTCCCTGCAGGCTCCATCTAACCCCCTCAGGAGGGTTAGGTTGGTTCCATCTTCTGATTCTGGTCAGCCCAATGATCAGAATAATGCTGAAGTTTTGAGACTGGGGGATGGGGAGCATAATGGGGCCGGGAAGACTGATAGGGAAGTCAGTGGCAAATACAGGTAGGGTAGTATGAGGTAAAGAAGATGAAATATGTGTTTGTGTGTGTATTCCTGACTATGCTAGGCACTGGAGACTCACTGAGTTTAAGAGCCTGGTGGAATATCTACATGAAGAGGTGGGTCTCGAACTCAGGGAAGATACCAGGATGGAGATCTAGGAGCCATTCAATAAGGACGTTATATGAGTGAAAGAGAAAGAGACAGACAGGTTGATTGACTGAGGGTGGAGCTGGCCAGCATAACAACAGCAATGGAGGAGAAAGAACATACACAGTACAAATAATAATACAAAGAACAAACGATAAATTCAAGTAAAAATAACTTAGAATAATAATGTAAGGTAATGACGGTTAGTACTTACTGAACACTATTTTTTAGCCATCTTACTAACTACTTTATTTGGATTTTTTCATTCAAGCCTTCCAACAATCTCTGAAGGTAGAGATTTCTATTACCCCCATTTGATAGATGAGCAAACATAGGCACAGAGAGGTTAGGTAACTTGCTTAAGATTACACAGCAAGTAAAGGATAGAGATGAGGTTAAAATCAGAGTGGGTTAACCACAGAAACAACTTTTAACCATTATGCTTTGATCAATCCCAGAAAACAAGAGAAAGAAAAGTAATATCAGTATTGAGAGGTAGTAGTAAGTGTAGTAACAGCAGCAGCTACCATTTACCAAGCATTATCCCTGAGTGGTGCAAATGCTTAGCACACTCAGCTGCTAAATGAAAGGCTGTAGGTTAGTTCCCTCAGAGGTCTTGGAGGAAAGGCCCGGTGATCTACTTCCAAGAAATAGGTCACTGAAATCCTATGGAGCACAGCTCTACTCTGACACACATGGGGTTACCATGAGTTGGAACTCATGTGATGGAGCCGGTACTGGTATTTCGTGCTAGGCACGGCGATCAGTGTGTTTAACATCATCTCTTTTAACCCCAGGGACAGCTTGGGATGGTGAATGTTCTTAGCCCTTGAGAAGAAAAGGAAACTGGCTCAGTGGTAACTTGCCCAAAGTCACATAGCTAGTAGGTGACAGCACAGGGATTTTAAGCCAGGTCAGCTCCAGCACTAGGACTCCTGAAGCACCATGCTAGACAGTTTCAGTGTCCAGCTGTGGAAGACTAATTTGTTGCATAGGCTAATTCAATGGTTCCCAACAGTGGGGCCACAGAAGCTCCTGCACATATTTTTAAAGACAAATTCTCAGGTACTTCTACCAGAGCTTCAGATTCAGTAAGTCAGTGGTAGGATCTATGAACCTAAACTTCTCAGAAGTTCCCTGGGTGATTCTTAGTATGTAGCCAAGTTAAGAAACCGCTGTATCATGTATACGTCATGGCTGCTTCTAGCAAGATGTCTGGATGGCTGGTCTGTGAGGACAGGATATGCTATATTATGCTTCTTTGCATGATCACATATCCTAACCCAAAGCTCAACGTCAGTAGACATGTCACAAAGATTTTATGACTTGAGAAACTTCCGCCAGGGGACCAGGCTCCATGGACATTCAATTGCCTTGCTTTAAAAAGAACCAGGTAATTGGCCTAAATCATGCATTCTTCTAGACACCATGCCACTTTTCCTCTAAAATATACCAGTAGTGTCAAACTAATTAAACAATTACAATCTCCTTACCTAAAACTCTTAATCTCTCAGCTCCTACTACCACTTCATTTTCATCTGCTGAGAAGAGCAATTTTCCAGAGACCGTTTTTACCTCAAACTTTTTCCCATAAGCTTCTACAGCTTTTGGACCTAGAAAGGAGAGAGAGAATACATTAGTCTCATTGTATTTGATAACAAAAGGCTTTTCATAGAACATATACATCTGACAAGATTACATTGGACTTTAATGTAAGCGGATTGGTTTTCAGAAGCCAACCACGAAAATTAGCCTTGTGACTTTAGTCACGTCTTGTCAATTACTTTTAATCACAGGCTCTCAAGTTATGATTTTAAAGTACATCATGTCCTTCCTCCAAACTAATGCTTGCATGAGATTTCCCTCAACTAGCCACCAAATTACTGTCAAATACTTGTAGGTTTTTTTTGCTTGAACGTATCATGACACGAGAAGCTAACTGCTTCTTGAGGCAACTCTTACATCTTCGGTCAGTTCTGTTGGAAAAATCTCCTACAAATTCAGTTGAAATTCAAATTCACAGCTCAAATTCAGCAGTAGGTTTTGGGTAAGGAACCAAGATTTTGCTCTGGATTGGATGCTATCAGGAAGTCGGGGTCATTTTATGATTGTCTGAATAAATCTTAACAAGAAGCAGGGATACCCAGAAAAATGTTAAAGCTGTAATGGATAAAGAAACAGCAGTCACTCATATTAGCCAGAACAGGGGGATGTTTGGTCTTTTTTGTGGTTTGAAAAGTGTTTATGATTTGTCTGTGTTCAGACATGATCAGAATTGACTTTTTTCCTCCCTGTATCCATCATAGTCACAGAGTATCCTTGTTTGATATTGACATTCTGTGAAATTGTTGATGTTCAACAGGAGGACACAAAAGGCCTAGCTGATAGTACCAGACTAGCCCCCACATGTCTGAGTCTACGTTTCTATTTCTGTTTCTCATGGCTATTGGACTAGCAATCAGAAGACATGAATTATGCTCCAATTCTCTCTTACTTTCTGTTAAATGTGATCTTTGGCAAATCATTTGATCTTTCTAAACTTCAGTTTCTACACCTGTGAAATTGGATGATCACTGCCTACTCGACCTCGTAGAAAGGCTGAAAGGAGCAAATGACATTGTGTTTATAAAAGGACCACTTTATAGACTGAAAAGTGCTGTGAAACATATGGGGCTGCTCTTGTGATCATCATCATCATCAACATCACCATTTTCTCATGCAATGGCCACACCCACTGAAAAGAATTAATGGCAAGTATCTCATAGCCAAGGCGCCCTGGTGGTGCAGTGGTTAAGAGCTCAGCTGCTAACCCAAAGGTTGGCGATTTAAATCCGCTAGCCACTCCATGGGAGAAAGATGTGGCAGTCTGCTCCCATAGAGACTGCAGCTTTGGAAACCTTATGGGGCAGTTCTACTCTGTCCTAAAAGGTTGCTGTGAGTTGGAATTGACTTGACAGCAATAGGATTTTTGTTTCGCAGTTTCCCCATTCAATAATCACATCAATTTGGCAGAAGCGATCTCTTGCCAATATGGGGCAAAGGATATTGGGAAGGCTCCTTAATGAGCAGGAGTTGGAAGAGCAGAGTTCCACAGACTTTCCAAGCAGGATGGGACCTGGACCTGGGATCCTGTCTGACTGCCTTCATGCTGTAGATGAGATCAAGTGACAGTGAGGCTAAAGGCTCTTTCAAGGTCACCAGGTCACCGAGTGAGCTAACAGCAAATCCGGGTTTGCAATGGAGCTTGCAGGGATGTTCCACAGAAGAAAAGGATGTTTATTCATCTAGGATGGGAAACGAGGCTGGTGCCAACATGGCTGAAGCAAGTAGGATATGAGCTTTTAGAGAATTAAAGGATGGGGAAACCTGGAAGAAAAAACTCTTGAAAGAACAGAGATGTATGATGAGGGACTTGCTTTAAGTTCTTCTGTGAGGGCTAAGATGTAGCTGTCTTCTTGGTCATACCAAAACCTTAAGTAAAAGCTGTCTTACTTGCGGTGGTTATCTTTTTTAAGGGAGGGTTGTGGATGCGGAGGTAATGAAGAGCTAATGAATGAATGACTGGCCACAGGATGGGTGTTGGGTGAGCACTTTGCCCCCTCTGGATCCAGTCGCATGGCAAAGTCGGGTATGACTAGGGGACACAAATCCTGGGACTTTGCCTTCATGGACCTGGGCAATATCATCAGACTTGGTCCCCAAGAAGTCAAGGGCATCTTTATGTACACAAGTTGAGTTTACTCTGAACTCATGACCGGGGTTGTGAGCTACCCAGGAGAATACACTGAAGAGACTATATTAATCAAACAACACAAAGAACAATTAAGTCATTTTGCTTTTCAGAAGACACAAAGAAATTTACCAAGGGCCAGAACTATTTGGGTGTATAAAGCTCAGTAATTGGTAGCTTTAGCCAAAATCCCACGGAGCATCTGCTGGCTCAATGGTGCAGACGGCTTGCTCTTTTGTCAGTTTCACCGGGGGCTGCCAAACTTCCCTGGACGTGGCCTGAATCTTAAGAAATGATTCTAAAGTGAAAAGCAAATGGAGCCTGAGACTGCTCAGGAGATCTCTTGGTAAACTCATTGTTCCTCTCTGGGAGGAGAAAAATCACTGTTTATAACCTGAAACTAATCTTCAGTTAATCCCCTTCTGTGCTTGATAGTTTATGTGTGAAGTGCCTCCTTAATTAATACCCTACACAGAGAAGAGAATGAGTGTGGCAAGTGTAGAAAAATGGAGTCTATCGGGATGAATAGCAGTCTCCAAGTCACAGTGTAGCCACGAATCTGGCAGCTGGGAAGGCCTGATGGTCATCAGCCTTAACTCCTTTCCCCAGCCCTGACACTGGACCCTTCCCCACTCCTGCATGATGCTGTCAAAGGCTCCCCTCCAAGTTTCCTCCTTATGGGTCAGAGGGTTCCCTGATCAGACTCACTACGCATCTGATACGAAATCAGCAGCATTGTAAGTAAAATAAAAGGATGGCACAAGACTGGGCAGTGTTTCATTCTGTTGTACATAGGGTGCCGACGCGACAGCACCTGATAACGACAACATGGGTAAAATATGCATTTGTGGCCTATTCCTGGGAACTTAACTGTCATTTAAAGCACTGTTTCTTGCAAAAAGATTACCTGAGCTACTAACATTAGAATTTGTAATGGGCTTTTGAGGCACGCATTATGTAAGCAGGAGAATTCTTGAGTCCTCAGGATGGCCTTAGTAGATCACACTGGTTAGAAGACAGGAGCAATTTGCTGTCAAAGAAGTACACCGTCAAGTTTAAGAGGCATTAGAAGCTACTGCCTGCTGGAATGGCTCTGTGCTTTCCACTGTGTCCATAAACATGGATGTAAACAGAGTACCCTGAAGAAAAACTTTAGAGGGGTGTGTGTGTATGTGTGTGTTTGTGTGTGCATGCGTGTGCGTTTAGAATTATATTTTTAACACATCTACCATCCTCTCTAGAAATCATCTTGAAAGGCTCCACTGGCTGGTATCAGAATGGCTTTTTGCCCATACCATTTTAATGTTAGCTATCTTGTGCTCTGGTAGTGCAGTGGTTAACAGCTCAGCTGCTAACCAAAAGGTGGGCAGTTCAAATCCACCAGCCACTCCTTGGAAACCCTATGGGGCAGTTCTATTCTGTCCTACAGGGTCACTATGAATTGGAACTGACTTGACGGCACCTAGCAACAGCAACAATCTTGTGCCTTACCTTAACAGTTAGGGGTAGGTGTCTCCCCACTCCCATGAGTGCCCTGTTGGGCAGGGGAGACAGAAAGAAGGAGAAAGGGGGAAGGCAAGAGAGAGTGTGGAAGGAAGTAAGCGGCGAGAGACAAGAGAAGGAAAGAGAGGGAGAGAGGAAAAGAGAAGGAAAGAGAGAACAAAAGGAGAGAAGAGAGCGGGAGAGTGGAGGGCATAGAGGTGGGAAGAGTAGGCAGGGGAGGAAGGAGGAGGAGAAGAAGGAGAAGAGGAGGAAGACAAGGAGAAAAGTAAGAAGAGAGGGGAAGAGAAGGGGAAGGAAGAGAAAGAGAAGTGGGAAAGGGGAGAGAAGGCAGAGAGAGACGGGAAGGGAGGAGGAGAAGGAAGGGAAAGGAAAGGAGAAGAGGGACGGACGTGGGAAAGCAGGGTGAGAGAGAAGAAAGCTGGTAAGAAGGGAAAGGATATTTAGGGGGAGAGAAGAGAGAGGTGGAGGGGGGGATGGAAAGAGGGGGAAAGAGAGAATGGGGGAAGGCAGAAAGACCGGCTGACTCTTACTGAATAATAGTCATTTGAGCAGCTCCAGCTTTATCAAAACAAAATCTCTCAAGTAAACCAAATCTCCCACTGCAAATAAATGGCAAATGATCAACAGGCTAAATAAGTTCCTTTTGAATGCAGGAGTCTGGGAGCTGGAGGTTGGATTAATTTCCCTCCTGAAGGCAATTTTCACACCTGTCGTTTAAATCATTGCTTACTGAAGCTGTTTAATTATTTAGCATTGTGACTGTGGACCAGATGTTACATAAGCAAGGCCGACAATCCACTCCACGCTGAAACATGTTTATGGATTATAGACTCTACCATGGTACAATTCCTTCATCCCTGAGTTCCTCTGTTGGTGGATGGTCCAAGGCACCCACCAAGGACATTCATATGAGGCTCTCCTGGGGGCGAGCAGGCTTCCCTCCACAGCAGAAAAGACTCTAGGCACAAACACACCTGTTTCCCTTGGCTTATTTATGAGTGGGGCTCCAGATGTTTTAGTCACAGTAATGTTTCAGGGCATTTGGGCAACTGGCTTCTCAAAATGTCCATCTGCATACATTTCTCTTAGCCCTGAAGCCAAACAAATGGCATTTTCTGTCTGGAAGCATAACAATGCCATGAGGAGCTACACACCCTTTTCCTTTCACTGCGTGGGTACATAATGCCGCCCGCTTACTGCTGTTTATGCGCTACAGAGGGGGCATTGATCATACCACTCAACACATTACCACAGCCACGACACCTACGTTTATCATAATAATCATGATTACGACTAACCAAGACCTTGTTTAAATTTCAGGTCTATGCAGCTTAAAACCCACTGGGTGCTTTCTGCAGCAGTTAGAACAGATCTGCTACATTAAAAGGAACCACATGAACAGATTCAGCAGAGATACATCTGCATTTTGCAATTGAGTTAGGCTCAAAGTCAGCACACACGGCAAATCATGGCATGGATTCAAACTATCACTGAAAATGCCTTTTATAACCCATAAAGTATGGTGTGCATGCGTTTGTGTACGCTATGCTCTCTCTCAGTCAATCCAACACAGCCAGTTTTTCCTCCAGCATTGGAGCAGAGAGCTTTCCTTTGGTTGAGCACCAGATGAAGCAGCTGGCTTATGTTTAGGGGCCATGTTATATGAAAATTAGATTTTTCTCCTCAAAGCAAGTATAGTTAGATTTGCATAAGTTAAATACGTATATATGATGGGACTCTATGCTTTAGTAGAATCCTAGAATGCATGCCACATTCACTTTCTCAATCCAGTAAAATGTGTTAGCAGACATTCTTTTCTTTAGTTCACACGGTGTTTGATTCAATTTCGATTCAGCCTTCAACTTTTTGTGAGTGGTTAAGAGCTTGGCTGCTAATCAAAAGGTTGGCAGTTCGAATCCACTAGCCACTCCTTGGAAACCCTATGGGGAAGTTCTACTCTGTCCTACAGGGTCGCTATGAGTCAGAATCGACTTGAGGGCAACAGGTTTTTTTTTTTGTTTTGTTTTGTTTTTTTTACCGTGGAGCAGGCACTGTGCTAAGTTCTTTTTCTTACCTGTTATCAGCTGAGTTAGCACTTTAGTCTGATCATTGAGAATGTTCACCGTAACATTTCTGGCAGATTTGAAGTACAGGGCATTACCCTACAATAAAAGAAATTAGAGAAACACATGACAATTGCAGCAGATTTCTACACACAAAAAAACTATAATCCCAACTCTCCAAGAAGCTGAACTGGTCTCAGCCAAGTTCCAATCGATTTGTCTTTACTTGGAAACTCCAGATGTTTAATGATCTTCACACACATGACACTTAACAGACATTCATCCAAAATAGATTTCCCCCAAAGAGACAGTCATACACACATACTCACTCTATATGGATTTCCCTAACACACACACACACACACACACACACACACACACATGCACACACAGAGATGATCATAGTTGAATCAGAGACAACTGGGACACAGAAACCTTTAGAATTTAATGCAGACATCATCAGTTAGCCTTGATACACAGAATGATCAAGGATGACTGATAGCAGTACAGATACCTTTGGGGGCTTTCACAAGGTGGGGGGCAGGGTGGCAGCCACTGAGGTATTTTACCACATGTAGACTGACAATCTGGAGTCTCTCTGAACCAAGGTTAACTGCTAAAATGGATAACCAATAGGCATGACCTGCTCAGACCCTGAGTTATCCTTGGGTGATAGTTGGTGCCCTACTGTCCAGGACAGAGATGGTGACTTCTGACCCATCAGAACAACCACTGGTTCAGTGTAATCGCCCACAGTGATTTAAAATTAAAATGTCACAGCAATTTAAAATTAAAACTTCATGTAAGTATGCTTATATTATTGGGTCAGGGAAACAGAAAAAACATTTAATATAATATCGTCATAGGTTTCTATATTAATCTATACATTTGGAAATAAATATTAGCCCCAAATATTTTCTTCTACACTTGCTGTATTTAGCAGTTCTGTATTCAAAACTTTAGAAGAGTTTAGTAATGTGAGAATTCAGAACCTGGAACGTGGACAGGACATTATATGTTGCTAGAAGTTAATGTATCAACATTTCTATTTGTGCATTTACAACCTGGCACTGCAGAGAGAGGAGCAAACTGGCATCAGGCAACTGGATGAATTCACTGTCGTTGACTAGTGTGTGACCTTGAGAAGGTCATTTAGCTGTTCTGTGTTCCAGTCTTTGCAGCCTCCTCCTTCTCCATCATCAACATCAATATCATCACCAACCTCATTGCTAACATAATTGAGCACCCACTGTGTGCGAGGTCCATAGTAACAGCTCTGCGTCAGACTGTCTGGTTTCTAATCCCAACTCTACCGCATGCTAGGTGTGTGACTTCGGGCAAGTTACTTAATTGTTCCAAGTCTCAGTTTCTTTATTTGTATGATGATGTAAATATTAATTATCATTAACATTATAATTGTATTAAATATCATTAACATAATTAAAATGCATGTGCCCTGGCGGCGTAGTAGTTAAGGGCTACTGGCGAGCTACAGCTGCTAACCAAAAGGATGGTGGTTGGAATCCACCAGGCACTCCTTGGAAACTCTATGAGGCAGTTCTTCTCTGCCCTATAGGGTCGCTGTGAGTCGGAATCAACTTGACAGCAACGGGTTTGGTTTTTGCTTTTTATTATTCTTACAATTATTAAATTGCATATGTAATTATTAAAATATACATAGTACAGTACTGGGTACTAGTAAGTCCTTAGTAGTTGTTAGGATAAGGGGAGGGAAGGGTAAGGAGAAAGAAGGAAAAAGAAAGGAAGAGAGGAAAGGGAATGAGAAGGGACAGAGGGGTGAAGGGAAGGAGGAAGAGAGAAAGAGGAGGAGACGGAGAGAGAGAGAAGTGAGGAATAAGTCCTTCCTTTGCATTAGGTAATCCTCACAGTGGTTTCCTCCATTTCCAGCCTTCTGCTTCCATGTTCCAAATGGTCTCCCTGTGTGGTTTGCTTACCATGGTCTTTCAAATCTCAGTGTCTTCAGTTGCTATCAATCTACCCTTAATATTATTTGAATAATTCAATTGCACTAAAAATCTCATAACAGCTTTGCTGAAGATGTACAGCAAGAGATGCAATAAAACCACCCATTTCTTTTTATTACCGTGTCAAAATATTATAGTTTAGCATTAATTGTTCTAATATGCTAACATCCTGGGAAACAAAATCTTTGTCATGTCACAGTTTAAACAAAGAGCTTCATTCTAGCCTGGGACCAGTTGCTGTAATCCTCCCATATACCTGATAACGGAAAGCTCTCCAGGAAAAAAGCACTAACCAGATAACAAATACACAGAGCCTCATGCCGCAGCTGAGTCAGTGCGGTTTTTGCTTTGTTCTTTGACTCTGTCCCCTGAGACAAAAGGGGGCAGTAGTAGTTCAGTGGTAGAATTCTTGCCTTCTGTGCAGGAGACCTGGGTTCAATTCCCAGCCAATGCACCTCATGCACAGCCACCACCCACCTGTCAGTGGAGGCTTGAGTGTTGCTATGATGCTGAAGAAGTTTCAACAGAGCTTCCACACTAAAGTAGACTAGGAAGAAAGGCCTTCTGAAAATCAGCCAATAAAAACCCACGAAGATCAGAGCCCCAATCAATCATGGTGCAGAACCACGCAGCGTTTTTTCTGCTGTGCATGGCGTCCCCATGATTCTGGGCTGACTCACGGGTAGCTAACAACAATGACGAAGACTAAACCAGGAAAATACCAGCCAAGCAAAGTGTCCCTGAGGCTTCTGGGGTATTAGAACAAGCAGGAGAAAACACTTATGTGTCTGATGAGAAGCCTAATTCTGCCCCCTCAGCCTCTTCTTTGTCCCTCTGCTCCCTCCCACTCACACTGCAGCTTCTGGGCCTGGGAAAGTTAACTTCTATAGCAGGAGCTACTGTTCTGGGGCCTGTGACTTTCACTAACCAACCTCAAGGCCAAGAGGCATGAAAGTAACTACAGAGAGGCACAGCTACGCCAGGCAGAAAGGAGTTTCTGGCAGACTCACACCCAGATAATGAAGCTCAGAGCTCTGGACCCGGTGGGTGAGGTCACCTGGGAGATGCTGAAGGGAGGCAACGCACCACTGCTCCCATATTGAGAGGGAAGGACAGTCCACATCAATACTCCCCCAAATAACTAAAGTGATCGGCATTTGGAGCTGAAATTCTCAGCACAAAATTCTACTTTAAAGAAAAACACATCTCTGCATCTCTGTTGTTCTTTAAAGCAGAATATGCAAAATAGAATCAAAACTTTTCCTCATGACCCAGGACCTTGAAATGAACTTGAACTCCACTAAGCCCTCAAGGGGCTACTGCAGGCGCGTGACTGTTTGGACGCTAAGAGGCTCTATCATGCTGACATTTTAAAATGAATCTCTCTGCTTTTCAAAAATGTATTACTTATTTTAATATCAAAACAGTGCACACATGTAAAAATCAAATACTACCAAACAAAGAGCAGCAATTCATACCCTTCATCATTGCAAGAGCTTTCAACTTGCCTGCATGATCCATGTTGTTGCTGTTCTTGTGTGCTATCAAATCGATACCAACTCATAGGGACCCCATGGGACACAGAAGAACTGCCCTATAGGGGCACAGTGGTTAAATACCCAGCTGTTAACTGAAAGGTCGGCACTTCAAACCCACCAGCTGCTCTGAGGGAGAAAGATGTGGCAGTCTGCTGCCATAAAGATTACAGTCTTGGAAACCCTATGAGGCAGTTCTACTCTATCCTATAGGGTAGCAATGAGCCAGAATCTACTCGAAGGCAATGGGGGAAATCTTCGCAGGAGTAGATTACCAGGTCTTTGTCCTGAGGATTCACTAGGTGGGTTAGTAGCCCGCTGCTTAACTGTTGCACCACTAGGATGCCTTTGCATGTTCCATATGGCCCCAAATATGCTTATATGTTGTCACTTAATCAACATTACACACCATCCATTGAATTTCTTCGACTAAAGACAGGGATTTAGATCTCTTACACACACATACATACATATTCACACACCTCCGTATACTACACAACTTTGGTTAAATTAATAGTTAGAATTTACATTATTATGATTTTGTGTGTATTGTTCACAGGTGAGCCAAGTAGTATACTTTGACTACATTTCCTTTTTCTTTCTTCCACAGTTTTTATTTCTTCCTGGAATCAGTACGTAAATGCTTCATTTAAAAAAAAAGAAAAACTGCTTAGTTTTCTCTCTCCTATTGTTCAATTCTTTCTTTTTGTTCTAATTTCTGAGAAATACCTTCAAATTTAATTTTCAATTATTTTGTTGATACAAAAAATATTTCTTTCTACAACCACGCTTTTAATTTCCAGGAGCTTTTCTGATTCTTTGAAGCTTTCTTTTTATACAATCCATTATTTTTGAGGGATATACTATCTTCTCTCAAATCTCTGAAAATACTACAGGTGTTTTTCAAGTTTTTCTGTTGCCCGTATGTTCTTTCCTTCTCCCATGTTCTTTTTATTTTTCTGTTTGTTCTGGCTTTTGCCACTGGGACTAGAGGCTTTCCTTAAGTGTCTGGTGATCTTTGACTCTTTCTTTCTATTTGAGGGGGATAAAAAAGTTGATTGGAAGCTCTGTGTTTCCAGAAGGCTGAGCCTTGCCATAGAGAATGGGGCAGGGGGTTTGGCTGATACAATGCAGAACTTCCAAATGTCAATAACTGTGGGCTGGTCAGTACCGTGAGCCAACCGCATTAAAGGGGAATCTCCAAGCTCCTGCAGGAAGGTGGTGGGTACAACTTTAGATGTAAGGGCTCTGAGTGTCAGAGGGGAAGGGGGCTGGGTATTTCACTGCTCAGTGGGCAGACGTTCAATTAAACCTTCTGCTTTCAGTGCCTCATTCCTGACTTCATCTGTGTCTGTTGCCCCAGAGTCCAGAGTTCCTGTGGTCCAAACTTTCCAGAACATAATCCTCTTATCTTCTGCTAATGAGGCATTGGTGGTTCAGTAACAGAATTCTTCCCTTCCATGTGAGAGTCCCAGGTTTGATTCCCGGCCAGTACACCTCATGCACAACCACTATCCATGGAGGCTTTTGTGTTACAATGCTGCTGATCAAGTTTCAGCAGTTTCCAGACTAAGACAGA